TAATTGTAAATGCCACAATTACATCGGTAAATATGCAGAAGGGTGGGTGTGATCTGCATCGGTGCACAGACACCGGGGCCCGGCACTTGGAACGTGTGTACAGAGGAATATGTGCTCTTTGGTACTAAATCCACACTGATCAGCTTATCTGGGCTCACAGGCATCAGGCACAAACAGCCCCAGTGTTTAGTGCCTCTACTCTGGGTGTTGTTGCACACAGAAGGCACTGCAGCGTGCCCTGCTTTCCATTCAGTGCCTGCTGACAGCGGCTGCCCCTCTAATTCACCTGCACAGGCAGGCAGGGAGGGGGAGGGAGGGAATCACACCCCACTAAAAATCTCTGATTAGCTGGAGTCCCATCTCAGGTTACCAAAGGTTCCAGTATTTTGCCTTTCAGTGCTGTCAGTCCCCCCCTTCCCAATAATCTGCAGGAGTGGAGGATTTTCAGCACCTTGGCAGATTAAACCTCAAGAGCAAACCTGTCGCCCAGGTCTTTGTCATGCAAACTTGAGGCCAAGTTCAATAACATCCTGTGACTCTTCTGCATTGCGGAAGCCTTGAAAAATTGATTTTCTGTTTTGCCACTGAGTTCAGTGGAACCAGGCTTCAGCCCTCCAAAGGAATTGTATTCCTGTGGATTGTAGCTGCTTCTGAAATCCTTAATTTCACATCCTTAAATAGTCAGACTTTGAGATAGATAGAGCAGGTATGGGTGCAGACTGTGCTGGGTGTTGTTGGCCACTGCTGGGTTATTAACTCCCCTTATGGTCTGCTGTGCTTTTATTTCCCCCCCCACCTTTGAAAATACATTTCAGAGATTGAAAGGCCTGATCCAAAATGTCCAGGAATGAATACAAGTCTCTGTATTGATCACCAGAAAAGGATTTTAAAGGGATTTGGTCATTGTTTACAGCAGGAATGTACTTTCAACAGAAACAAGAAATGTAATCTGTTAGGGCAACATTAATCCAGGGAAAACACTCTCTGGAGCGGCCAGAGCTTGTTAACACAGCAAACACCTAAGGCAGCACTGTGTCTTTAAGCTCTACTAATATTGAACAATAATAATTTTGGTGGAAGAAAATCTTCCCCTCTCCCTGAACAGAAACAAGGCTTATTATTGACTGCCATCGGCAAAGATGAATGCGCCGGCCCTCGGAGTCCATTAATATTTGATGCTGATGGATGGGAGCTGGCAGCTGAGTTATTAATGGAGTTTGGTTCCTTGGACCTCACCCTCAATCCATAGGGGAGAATTAACCATAACACAGGGGCTGGATGCCCAAACCTCTCGGGGTGCTGGGAAGGGCAGTGAGGAACAGCAACAAGGAGGGTTTCTCGAGGACTTACAGGCAGGGAAGGTCGGAGGTGGGGCCACTTCCATCCCTGCCACCATTCATTCTGATTTACAGGGGACTTTTCGGTCACCTTTAGGGTCACAGGGATTAAGGTGCCCCCATCAGGTCTGGATTTCAAACAGAAGGAGGCTCCCTGAGCAGCTGTGGGGTGTGGGACACCCTGTCCGTGGTGGCACCTCCCATGCTGGGGATGGGGATGAGCTGCTCCACACACAGCAGGGCATTTCCCAGGGCTGGCCCTGACCCCACATCCCATTGTTTTCCATCCTTTATGTTAGATCTGACCCCTAAAATTAGAAGTAATACATTGGGTAGATGTCAGGGGTATGTTTTGATAGACTGGGCCTTCTAAGTGAAGATGATGAAGAAAATGAAGCTCTTTGGAAAGACTGTGATGTCCATATGGGTCATTCTGACTTGGATAATAGAGATGTAAAGTATCAAGTTATTTATAGCTCAGTTTCTTAATACAACTTTTAACATTTTCAGGGGTGTATGTTTGATTGAACCAGCTACTCCTTCCTAGCAGGGATACCACACCCAGGCATTCACTGTCCTCATTAACCTCCCGATCTTAATAGAAAAAAAAGAGAATAATCAACATACGGAGCACAGCTGTTGATTAATTTTACTAAATAGGATAGAAATATAAAGTGCCATATTGCAAGAGTGAAGATTCAATACAGCACATTTGAAATCAGTTTTGTTAGAATATATAACTCATTAACAGCTGGATAGACTTGCACTGCAGCATTATCCACTTGGGCAGGTGGTGAGAGGGAGGGAGAATTTACATATCTCTAACAGTACCTGAATGCATTTAATTTCAGAGGTCATTCTCCCAAATCAAGTTCAAAATGTTAATAACAGGGTGTGAATTTATAATTAACAAAATCTTAGAGCCAGTGCTATAGTTCAAGTGCATTTTCCTCTTATGTAATTAAGAAGTTAAGTGTATTTGGCAGTTGTCACTCAGAGAGCTCTGAAGGTCTTGCTTGTCAAACCTGGGGATAGAAATCTCATTAAGCCAGGTATTTTTTTTTCAGTTAAGGTTTGTTTGCAAGGTAAAAGTGTGTAGGTGGTGGGCAGCCAGAATGCCCAGCCTCTGTTAGTCCAGAAAATAAAGCACATTAAAGTAAATGCCAAAACTCAAAGCCACGGTGAATAGAGATGGAACAGCCTGGTGTTCAGCTTGTAAGAATCACAGAACCATCTTTAAAGGTGGAAAAGACCTCTGGGGCCACCAAGTCCAGCTGTCAGCCCAGCCCCAGCACTGTGTTCACCACTAAACCCTGTCCTCAAGTGCCACAGTCACATGGTTTTTGGAGATTTCCAGGGATGGTGACTCCACCACTGCCCTGGGCAGCCTGTTCCACCACTTTCTGTGGAGAAATTGCTCCTCATATCTAATCTAAACCTCCCCTGGTGCAACTTGAGGCCACTTCCTCACCTTTTTGTCCTGTCACTTGTTACCTGGGAGAGGAGACTGACACACACCTCACTACAGCCTCCTGTCAGGGAGTTGTATCCCTTTGCTTTGGGATGTCCAGAGTGTGTTTGACTACCAAAAACCAGGGCCCTTGGCTGGGGAGAACTGACTGCCAGCAAGATCTGCTCTGCAGTCACAGAACATCAGCTGAGGAACTGGAAATCCACCTGCTGCCTCCACCCCTGGCCCAGGTGGTTTTTTAGAGGCATCTGGATGTGGCCCTTGGGGACAGGGTTTAGGGCTGACTGATGGCTGGAACTGGTGATCTTGAAGGTCTCTTCCAACCTTGGTGAGTCTGGTTGGTTAATCTGCTTCCCAAGGGGATATTTTAGCTCCACATCGCTCCGCTCCACTTTCCTTTTCAAAGGAATTTTCTTTTCCTTCTGGATCACTAGTTCAAATCCAGATAAGGTCAGTTGCCATAGAAATCATTGGCAGTGCCAGCAGTCCTGTGTCGTGCGTGGAACGAGTTGGGAGTTTCACTCGCACACGGTCCGGGTCCCTAAGTGGCACTAATTGGCTGTCTAATTGTCCCAGGCAGGAGAAAGGCAGAGGATTGATTAGGCGTGGAGGCTGAGTGCCCCTGTGCCAGCCCCGCTTCCTGGGGCTCATTCCATAGGCATGCTGGCAGGGTAATGAGGGGCAGCGTGCTCTGGATTTGACAGGCAGCATCTTTTCCTGCCAGGCCTTTTCAGGGGGACTTGTTTTACTCCACCAAGGTCAAAGATAGCATCTTTTACAAGCTCAGGAGTCAGGGGCTTGCGGGATTTGCTTGGGAGCAGCGCACATTTTAACCGTTTCCTTCCCCCAAACCCCAAGTTTTTAGTATAAAATAGGATGAGTCACAGTGGTGTGAGGCAGCACTGCTGCTGAAAGCACAGAGGGGGTTTCTGGTGCTCAGAAACCTGCCCATATTTCCCTTTGCTGTCTCAGTGGCTGGTGTGTGATGTACAGGCTCCTGTAGGTAACTCGCCACGACACAGGGAACCCGACGTGGGGTGTGCATTTATCTCCTGATAAATGGATCCTCCTGGCAAACAGCAAAGCCTCTCACCTGCAAAAGCACGTTTTGACCAATGTCTCTCCCCCTGAGCTATGGTACAGGTCACACCGTGCAATGCAGGGCCTTTTTAACTCAGAGTAGGTTCTCTTTCTCTGACACAGAACCAAGTCATTAAAGAGTGACTCACTGAAGTAGTAAATTTAGGAGCTAGTTTGTGATGTGAAAGTCAGGGCTACACAAAGAATCAAAAATACCTTGTCTATGCTAATGTGTGCAGACCCAACCGTGGCACTTAGCAAGTTTACTGAGGTTTAAACCTCAATTAGTGAGGTTAAGCCACAATTCCTTTAAACCTCGTTGTGCTCAGATTTTAATTCCCATGTTGTGTCAGATGAACAGCACTGGTAAGAATTGTGTCTCTCAACCACACACGCTGATCAGTGCATGCAGTGTTAGTGGAATGTACTGTTGAAATTTGCTATATTTCTGTAAAATACAAGTATTTCCTCTCCTTTCCCTCCCTTTGCCCACACCTGGAGCAGAAGTAGGACAGGGCCCATGTGTTCTGCTGTGTGCCTCCTCTCTCTGCCACACACACCCCTCCTGTTCAGCTCTCTTCCTAAAGTCCCAATCTCATGCAAATTAATTGAAAGCAAGTGCAGGTACCAGCTCTGCACCAAAAGGCTCTGCTGCACCTGCCATGTCGTTTTCCTCTCTGCCAATCTGTGCAAGATGAGCATGCACGAGATCCTTTAGCTCTTTAACAGCCCTGTTCTTGGAATATATTTCCCCAGGAATGCAGAGCAGTCTTGGTGCCGTTTCAGACTGTGTATTTTGTGATTAGTGTTTCGTAAGTGATGTTTTGCTTAATGATCTAACATCTGTTCAAGGAGGTTTGTTTTTGTAACTTCCCCACCTCCCGCTGAACCAATGCCAGAAACTTGTCCCTTTCCTCCAAGTCAATCAAAGCACTAATTGCATCATAATCAGGGGAAGCAGCAGTGACTGCTCAAGTGCTGAAGACTCAGCAATCAACTCACAACTCTCTGTGTGGAGAGAGTGAGAGAAAGGCTCCCTGTGCCGAGATGGGAATTTCCTGCAATCCCGATTCCTTGAGCTGACTCTGGCTTTTTTCTTTTTGGGTTTGCAGGGAGATGACTGCACCATCACCTGCATGGCAGGAACCTATGGAACCAACTGCTCCTCGGTTTGTAACTGCAAGAACGACGGTGCCTGTTCCCCTGTGGATGGTCTGTGCTACTGCAAAGAAGGTAAACAAAATTGGGATTTAACCATTGTTGGCAGTTTGGCATCAGTGCTTGTCCCCTTCTGAAGTGGCACAGCTGTGCAGTCAGTAACTCCACTATTTTCTCGTCTCCCCAAGTATCCAAAGTCAACAGAGGCTTGACTGGATGTTTTGTCTCTGCCTTGAGCAGGGGCCACACGTCCCTGCTCTGCTGCAGGAACAGGTCACAGAACTAAGTGTGTTGGCAGAGCCACAGCTCCTCTCCAGGGGAAATGCAGAGCAGTCCCCAGATCGTTGGGATGGTTTTCTTTATCCCTTTGCTGCCCTGTCTTTCCAGGATTCCAAAGCCCCTGTTCTCCTTCCCTGCCTGGAGTGGCACACTGGGCACAGGAGCAGAGGCAGCTTCCTGCCAGTCTTATCTGCCATCCCATTGCTCTGTTCTGTGCCTGGCCTTGTTCATCCTCACCAGACCTGCAGATTGCCTGCCCATCTCAGCCTTGGGCTGGTCCCAGTCCTGCTGTTCTGGGCTCCTGGCTGATCCCACCCTCAGCTGGGACTGTGTGTGAGCCCTGGCTCTGTGCCCTTGGTGCCACCCTCAGCTGCCCATCCTCCCTGTACCCCGACACTGGGACACCCCAGCCATGGGCAGGTGTCCTGTGTCTCCTGAGCCTGCAAGGGCTCTTTTATCTGAGGAAACAAGAAGTCCTACCTGCTCCAGAGTCTCTCTGCATCTTTCTGACATCTTTCCTTCCCCTCTGTGTCCATCATTCCCTCCTGTGCCTGGTGGGGACCATCACCCATGCCATCATCCCCTGAGAAACCTTCACTGCTCCCCAGCACGGTGTCTCCTGTGTTCCCCCAGAAGCCCAGCATGAGCTGTGCCTGTCTGACACACAGAAGCCCTAAACCAGAAGTGAGGCAAATAACAATAAAATCTGGCATTTCCAACATGAATTAATGGATCACTGTAGAACCCCATTTAATGAGGGATTATAAACCATGAGTTACTGCTCAACTCCATTACATACAGCTGCAGTGTAATGAAAGTCATTGTGTGGCTGGTAGTTAAGATTTGAGCCTTAATGGCTAGAAATGATGGCCTTGGTCTTTTTTTAGGTGTAATAGCTGCTTTGTATTAAATAGCTTTGTCAAAAAAAAAAAAAAAAAAAAGAAATAGGAGGCAAGAAACAGGCAGCATCAAATGGCAAGTTTCTTGCATCCCCAGGGGTCAGCAGGTCTGCAGCCTGACAGGCAGCACAGCCTCTCTTGTGCTGCCCCAGCAGTTCCCAGGGAGGCACCAGAGACCTTCATCTGGGCACAGTGACACCTACATCCATCCCCCTCGGCATGTGCAGATGCTGGGAGATGAAGCTGGGAGGTCATAATGAAAGGGTCAATCTTTGACCCCAAAACAGTCTTAATTCACACTAAGAAACCGGTCCTAAAATCACAGAGCTGCAGCTGCCTTTCTTGCTGTCTCTACCTCACTTGTTTTTCCATGAAAACATCCCAAATGTCTCTCCTGTTTCTTTAGGGTGGCAAGGAGTGGATTGCTCTATTCCATGTTCAAGTGGGAGTTGGGGTCTCAACTGTAACCAGACGTGCTCCTGCAGCAACGGAGCTGCCTGCAGGCCAGCAGATGGCTTCTGCCTCTGCTCCCCGGGATGGCAGGGGGAGTTCTGTGACCAGCCCTGCCCTGTGAGTACCACTGGGGTGCCCTTGCACCCCCTTTAAACCACGGCCCTGCTGAACACAGAGCAGGCCAGCGTCTCATTTTGTCTGGGGCTGCCTGAAGGAAATCGTGTGTGAATGACAGATTGGGGGTCTAGCAGCTGAGTGGATGTATTATACTTTGCATTATATTTTATCAGAGCTGTGGCTGTGTTATCTGCATTTTCTTGAGCATCATTTTTTAAAGTGATTCTTCATTTGGTTCTCTATAAAAACATTAGGCACCGAGTCTCCATCTTCTCTGCATGCTAATTTAAAAGATGCGACTCAGCATTAAGAGGGACGTGATAGATGCTTTTGCACGTTTCAGAACAAAAAAAAAAAACCTGATTACTGAGAGGCCTTTTTTTATTTGTATTTTTGAAGGATGGAACATATGGTCTCAATTGCAGCGAGCGCTGTGACTGTAACCACGCCGATGGGTGTGACCCTGTCACTGGGTACTGCTGCTGCCTGGCAGGCTGGACAGGTAAAATTAAGAATTCCCTTGGCAAACCTTGGGGCTTTGTTGATTTTGGGGGTTTTTGTTGAGTTTGTTTTGCTTTGCTGTCGCATCGTTTATAGCACTGGACTTGTGACTGCGAACTTTTAAATAATGGATTGAGGCAGGATCAGCTGAACTCGCCCGTAATTTGAATCACCGGTGATGGTGACAATAATTGGCATTCATTAAATTTGTATTCAGATGAGCCAAAGATGGCTCCAAACCTGGAGCCAGATGTTAGCCTTCTGGAAAAGCATCCTCAGGAGAAATGCAGATCAGCTGGAAATCCTGCAGAGTTTTTCTCCTTGAACAGCCCTTTCCACGGGGGTGCAGCTGTGGGACGGTGGGTCCCGGGCACATCGTACCTGGGATGCAGATGGGGCTTTTCTGCATGCTCAGGGTCGATACAGCTGCTCCATCACGCAGAACTCAGAGTTTTGCCCATTTTCCTACACTTCTTGTCACGCAGGAGGGCAGTTACAGGGAGCAGATCAGTGCTGCTGTGACAGAGCTCTCGTGATGACCCAGCGGCAGAGAGGAATATTCCGTGAAGTCGAAGAGTCCAGGCTGGAGATCTCAGTGCAATTAGACCTGCACTTGACTCCACACTGATGGTCTCTTTGCCAGCTTTTGACAGCTGACACAACAGCAGCGGGGGGCAACTTATTGACCCAACCAGTATTTCACACTCAGCTGCCTAAAATGCTGGTTAATGTCCCTCCGCTCCCTGGCGAGGCCCTGGGGGGAGATAAAGTTCTATTCTTGCCCATAACTGCAGAACCACCAGTGGCACTGGCAGTCCAAATGCATTTACATTAACAGCAAGTCATTTGGAACATTTAATTGTTTTTTAAACAAATACCAAGCTGAAGGAATGTGTGGAGCAGGGCAGGCTGCTCAGGCAGCTGGGGTTTGGGATCCTGTCACCTTTTCCCTTCTGTTTCTGGTGGAGAGGACACACTCTCAGCTCCCAGCAGCATGAAGCAAAAGCAGGGAAATTATACCCAGAACATCCAATGGAAATAATCTCTTAAGGAATAAATAAAATGTAAAAATAGGAAGTTCTGCACGCTGCTTACAACAAAGCTGCTTTTTAAGGATACCGGGCCTGCATTGAAAAGGGCATTTTTTCCTCCAAGAAAATCCATTTTATAATCTCACTAGTACCCCCTCCTCCATCCCCTTGCCTTCCTCGCTGGCTGGAGTGCATTCATCTCTCTTTGCCATCAATATATCCATCTATCAGGCTTTAAAACTCTCCTGTGCATTATTGATGATCAGCAGAGAAACAGCTGGTGGGCTTTTCCTGTAGCCATTGTGAGTTTCTTCAAGGGAGAAAATGGTTTTTAAAAGCACAATAAATTGAGGAGAGATATTTATACACACTTATTCTTAAAGTTTATTACACATCCTTCTGGGTGTAGCATTCCAGGGGAAAGAAACCGCAGGAAATGAACTTTGCAGGCTGTGCAGACTGAAAAGTGTGGCTTTTTCTCCAAGGCATTTATAACAAATACCTTGTGCTTACTCCCGGGCACACCTGTAAATGAACTTCAGATGCAGATCCTAATTACTCTAAGTAAAGGTAAAAGTAATTTCTGATGTCCTCCTCCTTTTGATTTCCATCTTGGGCAAGATAAATGTGTATCACCTTGCAGAGGATTAGCTGCAACCTAAGCACTTTATCCTTCAGTGTGCCCCTGTAGCTCTGGAACTCCTTCTTCAGGATCACATTTCAGGGAGGAAAAATATTATGTTCATATCCAAGACCAGGTTGGAGTTGAGATGTTGACAGGGCCACGTAAGGTGGAAATGTTGATAGACAGAGCCAACATGTGTTTTGTCAATTCTCCTTCCAGTGTTTTTTCCACTTGGCTTAGCACCAGACACAAGGATGAATTCTGCTCATACTAGTTTGAAAGTATGTAATTTAAGAAACTCTTCAGCTAGATAATTATATTTTCAAATTAAGGAGTGTGGCATCAGTGAAAGATTAATCTTATCTGCAGTTGTTGTGAACTGGGCCATGATGTGTATTGCGGTGCATTTTATAAATATGAGGTGATAAATAATTCAGGCTGAGATTTTTGCTTTCTGGGTTTGGTACTAATTAGGCATGGCCTGAAAAAGATCAGAAAAGTTCAGGATCATGGAACATCTGAAGGTTTTCCTGCCCACTCACACCAGACAGAGAATTCACGTGGCTTTTTCTGATCCTAATAGCCACAAAACTTCATCTGAAACCAGCATATTCTGTGTGTTCAGCCCAGACGTGGGACTCCCTCTTGATGTCGGTGTTTTATGTAAAGATCAAGGGGAAGATTGAACCCATTTTTCTTTAAAGTGGTTTCGAGATGTTCCTCATATAAACCTTCAGGGACTGATGGATGGGAAGGGAATGGAGGAGGACTGGGAGCGGAAGGAAAAAGGCCTGTCAAGAGGAGCCCACAATGTAAGTTAATAGCAATCTGCCATCCTTTTATGATGTCATGACTGCCACCCACCAAGACTCTTATTGAGGACAGTGACCTTCTGTGGGAAGGTCCCAGCTGAGGGAAGGTAATTTTCAGGAGCTGAGTGTACCTGGCAGATGGGAAGATGATGAAGAGATTCCCACATACCAACCAGGAGATCACAAAGCTGTGCAAAGCAGCTGGATGCATAAATAAGCACACTGGCAACAAGCTGCTCCGAGACGTGCACGTTCCCTTTCCACCGAGTTCTGTGGGGAATTGCACGTGTGCAGCCCAAGGCAGGAGTTAGATCAGATCTAGAGATGACTGAACCCTGGTGCTGCTGCTGAAAATTACCCAGCCCAGCACACGGGCACGTGGAATCACAGATGCCTCGGGAGGAAGCGCAGAAAGCAGGATGTTTGTGCTTCAGAGTCAAAAACCACGTTGGATAAAGGCTCTCGTGTGGTGCAAAGTGAGACTTGTTCAAAGGTTGGCCAAAATCAGATCAGTGAGTTGCTGCAGAGGTTGAGTTCCCAAGTGTGGGATGTAGCAACACCGAGGGCTCAGCCTTGCATGGGATGGAGTTCTCCAGCTTGAACCAGCACTGCATCCACATCACCTCACCTGTACAAAGAGTGTCCTGGAAATCCAAAGGAGAGATGTTCATATCTACTGCTGATCTAAAAAGGAAAAGTGTAGCCCCCAGAGGATCAAGTCTTGACTGATCAGACTGGTTTCTAAAGATTAATGAGGGTCTCTCGCTCCTGCTCTGCCGTGCGTTTTATACCCAGGCACTGCTGTGCTTGCAGCTCTGTGTGTGCCACAGGTACCTCAGAGCTCCCAGCACACCAGTCACTTGTGGAAGAGGTGTTATTTTGTGTACATTTAGGTTAGAACGAAAACGCTTGAGGTTGGAGTGCTGCGGTGCTAATTGCACGTGGTTAATTAGGGATCCTGCACGCACGGAATCCATAGAGGGAACGGAAGCGCAGGAACGCCGGGTGATGGAGCAGCTCCTGGGAACCCTTTGCAAGCAAACAGGTCCTGCAGGAGCAGGCAGCAGTCTCATCTTTCCCAGGTGCAGCCTGCTCTCCTGGGTGCTCAGTGACAATGTTAAGGTCATAACTATCAATTAGCCTCCTCTTACTTAATAAATAATAATAAATAAATAACCTGAAACCGGCCAGGAAAGGACCAGCTGCCCTGGTGGCCTTGTGGGGTGAGCAGGGAGGACGTGGATGACAAAGTTCCCGTGGTGGGTGCAGTGCTGGTGGCCCTGGAGGTGACAGCTCCAGCCGAGCCCTGTGAGGTTGGCAGGACGAGCTGCAAACCCCCTGGGGCTGGTCCTGCCTCCTCGAGGGGGCTGCTGGCAGCATGTTTTGTGCCAGAAACAGCTTTCTCACAGGTACCAGCTGGTTAACATCATGTAGCCTTCAAACCTCAGTAATTAACTCAGCCAGAGCTGCTGGCCTGGCTTTTCATTGCTGGAGGTGTTTCCTTTGTGCTCCACCTGAGCCAGGTTGGGGCTCTCAGGGAAGCCAGAGCCAGCTGATGCCAGTCCTGCCTCCAAGACCCGGCTCCATCCTCTTCCCAGTCCTGCTCCCTGACAGGTTACAGAAGGAAAGCCCCAGGCCTGGCTGCTCTTCACACCCAGCTCTGCTCCTGCCTGTGATGAGTCTGTGCTTCAGGTTAATTGGGGCAAGTGTGTCTTTTGTAACCTTTCAGCTGTTACAGGGGGATTAAATAACAAGCGATCTGCAGGGGGATATGCTCGTGCCTCTAAATGTTAAGGTCAGTTAAAATCCTGTTTATCTGAATTCCTTTAATCTGAAATGCTGTCTTATCTGCAGCTCGTTCTGCCTCTCTCTTTTTGTCTGGCGCTCTGGTTTTGCAGATGCAATCTCGGTTATCCACTGAGCTGGTTAATCAGAGGCTTCTCTCAGTGGGCAAAGCCAAAGTTTACTCAGTTTATTTTAATATCCCAAAGATGTGTGGGGAAAACGGAGCGCTGCTGTGAGATGGGAAACATAAAAGGGTGCATCCCGTAGTTAATTATAAAAGAAGCCCTCACAGATTTTCCTTAATTAATCAGGATGGCAAACACAGGTATGGAAATGATCTGTGCTGAGGAACAAACATCTTGTTATTGCCTTGGTGCTTTTCACCTTCAGGCTTCACTCGTGTCCCATAAGAGCAGCCTCCCCCTTTGCTGTTGGATACGGGAAATCAAAATACATCTTCCCCTGTCCTTTACAACCTCCATAACTTGCATGCATTGCCAGCAACATCAACCCTCATTGTCTCTTATGGTGTCCAGATCTGCAGCCCAGTAGCTGTGGGAGCCTGGAGCTGTAGGATTTCCACGGGTGACGGTCTGAGGGGGTTAATGGGGTCACCAGTGTCACTGGCCAGGGGTCAGGTGAGCTCGGAGGGAGGATGTGCTTGTGAGCATTTGCAGGCTGCCAGTGACACCTGCACTGTCACTCAAACACAGGAACATGTTTCTTCCCTCCTGTGGACACATTAATT